TTTACAGTCCCATCAGCAGTGTATGAGAGTCCCAATCTCTCCACATCCTCACCAGCATTTGTTATTTTCTGTCTTGAACTTGCTACTAGTCCTGGAGCAAGATGGTATCTATTGTTGTTTTGATTTGCATCTCTCTAATGGCTAATGATCGTGAGCATTTCTTCATATGTTTGTTGGCCACCTGAATATCCTCCTTGGTGAAGTGTCTATTCATGTCTTCTGCCCATTTTTTAATTGGATTTTTTGTCTTTTTGTTATTGAGGTGTTGGAATTTTCTGTAAATTCTTTTGACTCTTCTCTTAAGCATGAAGAATGTTTTCTTGTTTATTTGTGTGTCATATTTGTGTGTCAGATAATTTTGGATTGTATCTTGGACACTGTGAATTTTGTCTCTGGATTCTGCTCCATTGCTCTGAAGCATTGTCATTGTTATCAATGTATCTTTTTGTGTTTGCGTGATTGTTAGGCTTGTGGAGAATATGCACAGCAGGACAGACCCCATTTCAGTGGTATCTGCATGTACAGCTTATGACATGGCCCCTTCAGTGGTGCAGACCTTCTCCCTCTTTCGTGTTGGTCCTCTCCCATTCACAGAAACCTGGTCCCCTCTGGGTTTTCCCATCTAACATTTCCAGTTGCTGTTGTCACTTGGACCCCATACAGTCCGATCTTAAAGGAGTGGGTGCTCGAGGCCGATACTCTTTACTAATTCAGCTGAGCTGCTTTTGGTTTTAAGACGATTTGAGGGAACAGTTTTGGTGTAAGGTTTAAAGATTGGCTCAGGGCAGTAGTTTTGGGAGTTCCTCCAGTGTCTGTGGCTCCGGGGGGTCTGTTCTGCATTTCCACTTTTGTCTCGGTGCTGGTGGTGCTTTAACTGGGTTGGACTCAAATAGCAGTCACTTCTCTTGGTTAGCACTTCAGTTTCACTCTTAGTTGAGCTGCTTACAGTTTTCGTCACATGTGTGGTTCAGGAGTCAGAGATTTGGGCGGATTTATTCACAGACATTGGGGCTCCCCTTCTCTTGACTCTGGCCTCCCTTGGGTTCTCTCTCCGTTTTCCTGCCTCAGTGGTTGCCCTGTTCTTGGCTCTGAGCCTGTTCCCGGCTCTGAGCCTGTTCCCATTGCCCTCGTTCTATCTTGTTCGCTCCTCCCTCTTCGGTGGGGTTTTCTTCATTCTCCAGAGGAGGACTGGTGTGGTAGGACACTGCTCAGCCACACTGGCAGTGGTGGTCTGAGTGGTAGCAGTAGGACAAAAACTAAGATACTTCCCATACCTACCACCGGTGGGGAAACGGGAGGCTGGCTGATAGATGTATGTCCAGAAGAACAGCAAGCCTGTTTCTCACAGCTTCAAATGCTGGCCTGTCTATCAAGAGTAACTTAAAGATGCATTATGAGACAAAATCATGTATAGAAAAAAAGGGGATTAAAAAAAAGGAACATAGCCAGTGTTTTTCTCATCTGCTTTGCTTCCATAGTCTCTGTAGGCAGTTGCTTTTAAATTTCCGCACTCGGCAGACAGGGTCTTGCAGAACCACTAGCGCCATCTGTTGGCTGAGAGCATCTGCTTCTGTTTGAGCAGTGATGTTTGCGTTTACGCAGATTTCACATTTGTAAAGAGCTGCTTCTGTATGAGATACTTTGACATGCAGAGAAATGTGGACGTTCTCGCTGTCAGAGCTTGGTACTAAGAAATGGAAGCTGCTTCCTGCCCTCATTTGGTGAGATGAGGTTTGTGGTGGTGGTGGGTGTTGTTGAGTCGTTTTGACTCAAAACAAGTAGAGAGAAGGCAGAGTATCACTGCCCCGTAGGGTTTCCTAGGCCACAGTCTTCATGGGTGCAGATTCCCATGAGGTCTTTCTCCTATGAAGCCACAGGGTGGGTGTGAACCAGCAACCTTTTTGGCTGCCAGGCAAGTGCTTAACTGTTGCACTACCAGGGCTCTGAAGATCGGACAGGCTACTTCCGTAGAGATACCGCCTCAGAAACCCAAGGAGGGGTCACTGTGAATCGAATCAACTTGATGGCAGTGAGAACTCTGAACTGCAAGGATCAGGGAGGAGAGGGCCACAAGCTGGGTCTGGAGAGAAGGGGCTGGCTGCAGGTAGAGGAAAAGGCAGGGGTACTGGCGAGTTTGTGTGTGTGTGTCTGTCTGTCTGTGTCTGTCAGACTCGGGCTGCCCTAAACCACTGAATAGAGTGACATGAAGACATTGTAGCCTGGTGTTGAGGTTTGTGGCTTTTCCTTCAGCGTGTGGGGGAACATGACAGACAGACTCCAGATAACGTGTTTGGTCTCCAGTACAGGCAGATGTATTGCACTGTTGGTTTGTTATTTGGAGTCCGTCAACCTGAAGTCTGCCCTTCATGGTGCTGTGGATGAGCACAGTCTTGGAATTAGGATGGAAAGTGTGGGAGTCCCAGTGAGTGCGAACTGCTCATGTGTTTCCTTTCCTAACTCTGAGGACTCGTGTGCTGTCGTCACACACAGCATCTTAAGTCCTTCCAAAACTAATCTGAGTATTAAGTGGGGAAAAAAATAGAAGAGACTCAGAAAATAACACATGGGAAAACTGTGTTTTAATCTGAGAATGATGAGAACATTTACAAACAAAAAGCTAATTTCTTTAATATATAAAAAGCTTTTGTAATTCACTAAGAAAAAGATACAAAATGTGGTAGAAAAATGATCAGAGGATCTCAACAGTCCATTAACTAACCAAACAGAAAAGAAAAACTAGTTTAAAACGTGGGAAGGTGTCGATCTTGCTCATAATAAGAGAAATGTAGGAAACTACAGTGAAATGCTTCCCTGAGAGATGGGCAAAAACCCAAAAGTTTAATAACGACACCGTCTGGGCTGGAGTGCGCGGTGACGTGCACTCTCACAGCCTGTGGTTGGGACCGCAGACTGGCACAGTCTCTGTGGAGGATAATCGGGCAGAGCCCAGGAGGAAGACCTGCCGTGGTGTTCAGTGCCATCGAGTCAGGTCCTGCCCGCAGCGACCCTGTGTACAGCAGAGCCCAGCGCTGCCCAGTCCCGCGCCATCCCCGCAAACACTGCTGTTCTTCAGGCCATCGCTGCGGCCACGGTGTTAGTCCATCTCCTTGAGGGCCTCTATTTTGCTGACCCTCTACTTTACCCCTGTAAAGACTGTTGTTGTTGTTACGTGTTGTTAGGTGCCATCAGGCTGGCGTTCGTGGCCACCTCGTGTCCCACAGCATGAAACACTGCCTGTCCCCCTACCAGCCTCGCCACTTCTTTCTCGACTTGAGCCCATGATTGCAGCCACTGTGTCCATCTCGTTGAGGGCCTTGCCCTTTTTCGCTGCCCCTCCACTTTACTGAGCATGATATCCTTCTCCAGGGAGTGGTCCTTTCTGACAACATGATCAAAGTAGGCCATTCTTGCTTCCAAGGAGCATTCTGGCTGCACTTGTTCCGGGACAGATTTCTCCGTTCTTCTGGCAGTCCAGAGTACTTGACTTCCGGTATTCTTCGCCAACACCACAACTCAGACATATGAGGTGGTTGAAAATACCATGGCTTGGGTCAGGCGCACCTTAGTCTTCAAAGTGCCTTCTCTGCTGCTCCACACTTTAAAGAGGTCTCTTCAGCAGCTTTTCTCAGTGCGGTGAGACATCTGATTTCCCGACTGCTGCTTCCCTGGGCGTTGACTGCGGTTCAGTGAAATGAAATCCCTGACAACTTCAGTCTTTTCTCTGTTTATCATGATGTTGCTTATTGGTCCAGTTGTAAGAATTTTCATTTGCTCAATGTTGAGATGTAATCCATACTGAAGACTGTAGATAGTCTTTGACCTTCATCAGTAAGTGCTTCAAGTCATCCTCACTTCCAGCAAGCATGGTTGTGTCATCTGCATGTGGCAGGTTGTTAATGATTCTTCTCCAATCCTGATGCCACGTTCTTCTTCACACAGTCCAGCTTCTCAGGTTACTTGTTCAGCATACAGATTGAGTGAGTATGGTGAAAGAATACAACCCTGATGTACCCACTTCCTGATTTTAAACCATGCAGTGTCTCCTTCTTCTGTTCGAATGACAGGCTCTTGTTCTATGTAGAGGTTCCTCATGAGCACAATTAAGTATTCTGGAATTCTGAGTCTTGCAATATTATCTATAATTTTTTATGATCCACACAGCCAAATGCCTTTGCATGGTTGATAAAACACAGGTAGACATCTTTCTGGTACTCTTGCCTTTCAGCTAAGATCCATCTGACATCAGCAGTGATATCCCTCATTCCATGGTCCTGTCCTTCCAGGCTGCACTCAGTCTTTCCTCCTTTCATCCAGGTGCCCCTGGGACCCTTCCCCAAGTTCTGCAGCACTTTAAAGGAGAGGGTTGGCCCCCAGCTTTAGTGGAGAGCCTGTTTCCATCCACAGTGTCTCACTCTTTGAATGCAGTGTGGATGCGTGACAACACAGCCCCGGGTTGGAGGGGTCTGGGGAGGCAGTGGAGCCTGGGCCCTGCGCGGAGGCACTCACCAGTGTGCTGGGAGGCTTGCCCGGGTACAGAGGGTACAAAGCCCTGGCCCTGCCTGGGGTGCTGGGAGCTTCAGCACCTGCGGACACAGAGGCTGCTTCATCCCGCCGTGTAAACAGTCCTCAGTCCCCATGTGTTTGCCCATGTGGTTAAAGTAGAAGACAGTGAGAGACTGCAGATGGCGTGTTTAGACGGCGACACTGGGTCTCTGAGCGGGCTGGGCTGTGTGCAGGGTCCTCTGTGCAAAGGTGAAGGCTGGGCTCGTGTTACACGACATCTTAACTTGATGTGCGGTACCCGTGAGGGTGCGTTTCCACAGCTCTGCAGCATGAGCCGGCTGTGCAGTGCAGTCACCCCGATGTCTGCTGCGGGCTACTTGGTCTTCAGAGCAACCTCTGGCCTGAGGGAAGATCCACATTTACTTTTGCTGGACGGGCCAGAGATGAGTAACTTAAGATACTGTGTTTCTGATGTCTGTTCCTTCTGTCTTTTTTAGGAAAACCAGTTCTGTGTTCTTGGAGGCCCGTGGTCCAGTTAGAGAGTCAGTGGCGAAAGCTGGCTGCAGGTGGGGTCCCCGTGGGACGGGCGCACAGCACACAGGCTGCGGAAGACAAGCAGGAGGAGCCGCTGCACTCCATCATCAGCAGCACAGAGACCGTGCAGGGTAACGCGCGGCCGCGGGCTGCTCTGAGGCGTCTTTCGTGGTTCGTTGCTGGCCTGTAAGGAGAAATCCTGAGCCAGATCAGGGCCGCTCTGGTACAGCCCCTCTTTGCTGCGGAAGCACGCAGGTCTTGGCAGGTCGTGGGCACCTTGGCGCTAGCAGCAGTCCCCAGAGTGCTGTGTCCTCCATTTCTGTCTCAGCAGGAACCCTGGTTTCCATCGCAGTGTGTCGTATGCCCCCTGGTGGTCAGCCTTGAGATGGCGGCATGGTGCCTGTCTCCAAGCGGTGATTCATGCCCCATCTGCTAACGATCAGGCGGGCCGGCCCGCACTGGGCATTGGCCCAGCCTGGATGGGATCACATTCCCGTCCCCGAGAAGTGGAACAGTCTTCAGAGCCAGTCCTGAAATGGTTCCACTCCTGGCTTTTGAGTGAGATGATGAGAACAGAATCTTTGACGTTCAGTTAAGAGGAAAAGTGAGAGTTTTAGTCAGTTTGTTTTTTTTTAAATAAATTAATTTGAAAACTGCTTTTTGAGGACGACCATCCACATCTGGGGGCTAGCGCCAGCCTGCTTCTCGCCCTCAGGCAGTGTGGCAAACTCTGGCCTGGACAGTCGCCCTGGGCTCCCCAGGGTGTTTTTGGCCACACGGGAGGCTGGCCTGGGATTTGGCTGGACGTGCGTGTGCGCCCCTTTGTGCTGGACCCTCTCGCTGTTTGCTCCCCAGATGGCCTGACTGGGGCTCCTGGAGACTTGGTCTCTGCTCACTTCTTTCTTTTAATTCCCTTTTTTCAGAAGTGTTTAACCCTTAAACTGTAACAGTGCCTGTGGGGGCCGGGTAGCGTCTGTCCTCATGGGGCTGGAGGGGAGGCTTTACTGCGTCTGCTCCGTTTCAGGTTCCGTCTCCAAGCATGAGTTCCAGGCTGAGACAAAGAAGCTCCTGGACATTGTTGCCCGTTCCTTATATTCAGAAAAGGAGGTAGGATGCCCGCCAGCCACGCCCAGTGCTATGGGGCTTCTCCTGGCAGAACCGTCGTTAGGCTATTCTGAAGGGTGCCGGATGGCGTTAGCTGTGAGAACGCAGTAAACACTGGATAGGTCCCCATCTCAGTTACCAGCAAGGCATTTTATTATTATTTTAACCAAAATCTATTTCTAGTTCTTGGTTAAATATATCCCAAAGAATCTTTTGGCCATGTCGACTCTGGAAAGTAATTGACACTTGTTGATGACTTTAAAGTTCCCCAGATAACTGAGGTGAGGCCCCGCTAAAATTGGTGCCTGTGGGGTGGGAAGGCCGTTCCTTGCAGTGTTTTGAGGCCCCGTACCCACTCACCACTGCCTGGCATAACCACCCAAAAGCCTTGTGAGGTCTTGGGGATTGATTGGAGGAAGCAGCACCCTTGTCTGCGTAGGGAGGGCAGCGAGGCGGGACCAAGGAACTTTCCAAGAAGGTTTCAGACCGTTCAGTGGTGACAGAACACGCGAGAATGGAGGAGAACCGACAAGCCAGTGCTGCTTCGTGCTCACACGGCTTGAACGCAGGACTCTGAGCCAGGGCACCATCTCCTGAGACAGAACGGAGCTTCTCAGGAGCTCTTCACGGGCTTTGTTGCCCAATCTGAGCAAGGGCACCAACTCCCAAGACAGAGCAGCTTCTCAGGAACTCTCTCCTGGGATTCACTGCCAACAACCACGTCCGGGTGGCTCTGACTGCCAGCACTTAGTCTCCTGGGATCCAGACCCCCACTGTCCCTCACGTGTGTGCTCTAGCTCCCAGCCAGGCACAAGCCTGTTTGAGGCAAAGGTGGTGTCAGATATGACCAGATTATTGAGCTCTCGGGCCTGTTTTTTCCCCAAGTATAGTCTAATTTTTGATGACCTATTAGATTCGATGAAGCCTGTGGACCTTTTTTGTACAGTGGGAGAAACTATTTTGTTACCTCTGTGTAGGAGTTGAAGAGCTCTGTTGGAACAGTGATTAAAGCCTTTGGCTGGTAACCAGAAGGTGGGCAGTTCAAACCCACCAGCCACCCCATAGGAGAAAGATGTGGCATTTAGCTTCCATAAAGATTGACAGTCTTGGAAACCCTCTGGGGCAGTTCTGCTCTGTCTCATATAGGGTTGTTATAAGTTGTGATTGATGGCAGTGGGTGTGGTTTGGGCTTTGCTTCTGTGAAGACTGACAGCCTTGGAGACCCTGTGGGGCAGTTCCACTCTGTCCTCCAGGGGCGCTGTGGGTCAGAATGGACTCCAGGGCAGTGGGTGTGGTTTGGGCTTTGCTGCTGCGAAGATGACAAGCTTGGCCATCTTCCGAGGAAGTTCTGCTCTGTCCTTTAGGGGCGCTGTGAGTTGGAATCGACTTGATGGTAATGGGTTGTTTCTGCAAGAGTTGGGGGAAAAAATGGTCTCTCACAGGGTTCTTAAAGTTTACGTTAACAAAAGAAAACACGCAGCTTAAGGCTTGATTTTCTGGGAAGATCAGTAGGTGTTGATTGACTATGTGAAGGTGTTTGTGTCAAGGAGAAACTGGCCAGTGTTAGGAGCTTCCCAGCCGGCCAGGGAGATGCAGGGTCTCCACCTTCGCCTGATGTGAGCAGCTTTGTATGTGGAGAACTGCGTGCTCCATCACAGTCCTGCAGACGCAGCAAAACGAGTCAGTGGTGCAGAGCTGGTGTCTCATCGTCAGGGCCCTGCTTCCCGTCCCTGCAGGTGTTCATCCGCGAGCTCATCTCCAACAGCAGTGATGCCCTGGAGAAACTGCGACACCAGCTGTTGTGTGACGGCCAGCCGCTGCCAAGGATGGAGATCCACCTGCAGACCGACGCTGAGAAGGGCACCGTCACAGTCCAGGTAGCCCCTTGCTTTCCAGGCTGCGGGAGCCTTCTGCCTGCCTGCCTCCCTCCCGCGACCCCGGTGCCTCTCAGGGCCTGGCGGGCAGGGACCCGGCTGCGGGAGCCTTCTGC